TGTGTTGAGAAACGCAGTGTCCCTGCTTTCTCCCATGTATACATGTTATTAAACTTGGTATTATTTTCTCCTGTTAACCTGTCTTGTTAATTATTTGGCCAGCCATAAGAACCTTAAGGAAAAGGGCAGAGGGAGATTCTCCCTCTTCCCCTGACAATACTCACATAGCCCTGAACTGGGCAGGCAGACATCATTATTATCCTTTGGTGCTGCAGAAGAACTTGAGGTATGGTGGCCCGCCCACAGTCACCTGGCCAGTGAGTCCACTGCAGGGCTAGACCAGCACCTTGGTCTCTGGACTCCAAACACATTGCTACCAAACTCCAAGTTCTGCCGTTGTGGATGAGAGCACCTCAGATCTCTTTCTCTGTGCACTGACTGTCCCGTATCCCTTAGTAAAGCCCTCGAGGCACCACGGCCATCAGGCCCAAAGCTGAGTCATGTTGATGTTGCAGAATGATGCGGCCAGTCCTGCCCCACATACACCTTCTCCTTTGGTGCTTTTCCAGAAATTAACTTTTGAGTTCAACAACAACCATGAGTCTCTCGACGAGGAGCTGCACCTCCTCATCTTATCCTGCAGGAAGTTGTTTTACTTCAAAATCTGGGCTTTCCTTGATGTCAGGTTTGTGGAGCGGATCCTGAAGAGTCAGGAAGAAGGGCAGTGTGCCCTGCGCACGCTCAAGGTAAGAGCCCCTAGCCCAGGTCTGGTTCCACGGGGACAGAGCAGGGGTGTTCAGGCGTCCAGCCATGGCGCTTCTGCTCTGGGACGAAGGTCAGAGACGAGGCAGGGAGTGGGGGCAGCCCTCTCACCTGAGTCTGTCCCCGAAAGGGACTCTGGAGCTGTCTGCCTTAGTAGTTGGGTTTGGGCTTTTCCTGATCCTGCCAACAACTGTACGTGTACATCATTTGGATGGTTTTCAGTGCCTGAATGATGCAGTCATGGGCTGTGTGTGTGCGGGTGTGTTTCTCTGTTGGCACAGGTGAGAATTTATACGAACAGATATGAGACGAATGAAGAGGACAGGACCCTGCGGGAGATTTACAGGAAGTACAGAAAGCTGATCAATTCAAACCTTAACTATTTCGTCATCGCTTACCCCATGATGTAATGAGCGCTCTCCACAGGAAGAAGGCCAGGAACACTGTGAACTTGACCATCTGGTTCTCACAGAACTACACCTGGGGCATCCCCTCCCCCCACCCCTTCTTCCTCTCCCTCTCCTTTTCGCCAGTTCCACACCAACAGGAATGTCCCAGCAAAGGCTGGGACTGCTGGTGACCTGAGGGCCCCGGGTGACTTTAAAGTGCTATCTATTCAACTATCCAGGGTAACTTCCTTTTTGTTATTTGGTTTTGCTTTTTGACCCCCTGACTCAGCCACAGAGCTGGAAGCCCAAAGCAGTTCAGAGCAGTGTCTTCCTAGGGGACCCTGACTCCTGCTACTGTGCTCCTGAAAAGGGGTCACTAGCCAGGGAGCAAATAGAAATGCATTTCTCCTGACCGACATTATCAGCTCAGAGTGCTCTCTGTCCTGGCTGACCTTCAGCTGAGCCCCCCGACACTGACGCTGGTGAGCCCTGATGTCCGATGAATGGAAATCCGCCAGCTTGCCCTCGAATGAAGCAGGGAGATCCCCACGTTTAGCAGGAGCCGGAAGTCCCCCCACCCACAGAAGGAACTCAGCCCCTAATTTATCGGCACTGTCCACTCGGATCTCCTGCCTCTGCTTTTGTTGTGTCTCCTTTGCCTTCCCATCCAGGCAGCGAGGCGCCCAGCCTGTGGTGATCACTCGGTCCTCAGGTGTGGGGCTGAACCAGAAGTGGCCCCTACAAGCATATTTACAAAGAATTTGTAATGTCATGGGGAAATGTTCCCAATGAATGTTCAGTGAAAAAAATGCAGGACACAAAACTGTATATTTACTTATATATACTTATATAAGGGTTTTTTTGAAAGCATAGAAGAGATACACCAAACATGTGAACAGTTATCTCTGGGTGGTGGAATTATGGGTGGTTTTTATTTTCCTTTTTATGTTTTCCCCTATTTCTCAAATTTTCTACAATGACCATATGCTATTTTTATAATCAGGGAAATCTAGTGTGTTTTAAACGGGGAGTAATTATAAATTCCTGAGCCCATGCCACAGACATATATTTCTTCTGGTCTTTTGAGATTTTTGTGCATATGGGGTTTTTTTCAATAGATATAAATTAATAAAATCTCAGAATACTTTGGACCAGCGTCTCATTTCAGATTTTGTTTGTCTTGCCTTTCGTGTGCTGTGTCTATATTTATGCCTAGCTTTTTAGGCCCTTGGTGAAGTTCCTATTTATCCAGTGCTTTTCAGTTTCACAGCACGTCCACATTCTCTGTCTCGTCTGGATGTCCCTGCAGTGCTGGTGGGCAGAGATGGTCCCTGTGTCACTAACATTCAGAAAAGATGGACACTGGTGAGGCGAATGGGGTCCCCATCTGTGGGGAGCTCCCAGGACTGATGGGAGAAGACACTTTGAAGTGTCATGAAATGCTAAAACCAGAAGGCCCTTGGGAGCCATCGAGTACCAAGTGGACCAGAAAGGAGGTGGCTTGAGATGAGGAGGGAGCCTCGGCTGGAATCCAGACCGCCTGGGAGGTGGATTGGTATCATGATTTACCCATGTGTAGACCAGTTCTGGTTCGTTTCCTTTCATCCCCAAATGCAGATTCTAAGTGTAGAGGACTTCTTTATGGAAAACATGTTAACATAAATAACATTTTTATGAACATGTTTTCCATAAAAGAGTGGATACATTTTATAGTTTTGCAAATCTCTCTGCTGTCTGGCTTAATAGTATTCAGCTGGCTTCTCATCCCTGCTTCTGCAGAACGTTGCCACATCACGTACCACGTAGCCTCTGGAAAACTCCAGAGAGAATGAGAGTGCAAAATGCACATCACGTCTTGGTGTTATTGTTAAAATTGTGTTGACCCTCGTGGATCCCTTGACAAAAGGTCTCCAGGACCCTCAGAGATTCCCTCGGCCACACCGAGAACTACTGCACAGACATTCCAGCTCCTCTGAGGGACTGAAACAGGACTAAGACCGGGAGCGTCCCGGTGGGAAAACCCAGAGCACACGAGGTTTCCAAACTCAGCTACAGTTAGAGGAACAAGCACATCCTCCTCGCCTCGAGGGAGTTGGTAAGATTCTTCCCAATCTTCTTCCATTTTTAAACAGCCTTGCCAAAATTCATGGATGAATTTTCAGGTAAAAATACTTTGAGGCAACAGATCCTGGTTTCAGGAGCTGAAAGCCCGAGATCCGATGAAGCATCAGTAACGTGTTAACCGTGTGACCTCCAACAAGTCAGTTCATGTTTTGCGCCCCAGTTTCCTCATGAGATCCTGTTTGTGAAAAGGCATTATAAACTGTAGAGCTCTGTTGTACAGGGACGGGAGAGCTCTCTGTAAGAGCCGGAGCCTGCGTTCCCTCGCCGCCTCTGCCCCAGATGGCCTGATGCACATCCCTGCTGCTTTCCAGGCCTCAGTTTTCCCATCTGTACAATGAGGAGGTTAGATAGGATCAGTGGTTTTCAAACTGTGCTCCCTGGAGCACCCTGGGGAACACTGCTGGGGGAACAGTGGGGACACTCTTCCCAGACACCCTGCTTTCTGTTTCTCCCATAAGATTGTGTTTGACAAAGGGTTCTGAGGTTAAAACAATCTAGAGAGAGAGAAAGAGAAACAAAACCTTGGTCCGATCAGTCTCCAGGCCCATACTCTGGCTCTGAGACAGGTTATCAGTCAAGATATGTTCTGGGCTAAGTGTCAGGAGACCCAACAGCGGCTGAAACAAATAAGGGCTTATTTTCCTTACTAATGGGAAGTCTGGAGTGAATTGGCTGCTAGTTGTGCTTTAGGCCTCCCAGGGTTGGGACTAGTTATCTCTGTGCCCCTCTTAGCCTTTCACCACGGTCTCCAGAGGCTGCTGCAGCTCCAAACACCTCAGCCGTTCCAAGGCAGGAAGACGGGGAGTGAGGAAGGCACCAGTGGTGGATATCTTTTCCAGAAGCCACCAGATGACTTCTGCTTTTGCCTCTGTGGCCAGAACTGAGTCACAAGCCACCCTCACATGCAAGGGAGGCCGGGAGCGAATTTAGCTCACGGAGCCTCTATAAGGGAGGTGGGCAAGGGAGACTCTGCAGGTTGGGCACAGCGGTTGGGTTAGGCAGCTAGCAGTGGCACTGTCTCCTCCACCACGGGGGGTTGTGTGGGGCTGACCATCTGGGAGCACAGAGTCCAGCGGCTACACAGGGGCCTTAGCCCTTTCCTGAGGGGACGCAGCCCCAATGTCACAGTCAGGTACAACAAGTGCGCTCAGATGCAGCTCATTAGGAAACCCAGAAGCCAGATCAGCTCGCATTATTGATTTCGTCATTTCCCTAACTCTTCTACGTTTGGGAAGCTGAGTCCCTGATTGTGGTTCCTCAATATGAAAGACCATTTTTGGCATTTACCTGGGACTTGAGGTTACCAAACGCTTCCCAAACTTAGAGGCAAAGAGTGGAGTTTAGGTCCTCACAGGAAACAGACTCCCCAAGATGAAGATACTAAAGTCTCAGGTCTGATTAGAAAACTTAAGCTCTGGGCCGGCCCCATGGCTTAGGGGTTAAGTGCTTGCCCTCCGCTGCTGGCGGCCCGGGTTCGGATCCCGGGCGCACACCGACCGTACCACTTCTCCGGCCATGCTGAGGCTGCGTCCCACATACAGCAACTAGAAGGATGTGCAACTATGACATACAACTATCTACTGGGGCTTTGGGGGAAAAAATAAATAAATAAAATTAAAAAAAAAAAAAAAAAACTTAAGCTCAGTCTCTAAATCTGGCAGTGAGTCACTGTAAACCGGTTATTAACTCTGTGCCTGGTTTCTCCGTCTAAAAATCTCTCCTTGCTACTCGATGGTGAGACATAATAGTTTTAGGAGTGTATGTTCTAGAGTTAGCCTGCTTGGGCCTGAATCTTATCTGTATGACCTCTCTAAGCCTCAGTTTCCCCACCTGTAAAATGGGGATAATAACAGTTTGTATAAATAACTCACTAGAAGCATTCACTACATTAATGGTTGCCACAGTTGTTGGGATTACCAATGGTACACCTGTCTTCCAAGGCTATAATAAGTCCTCCTTGGTTTTGATGTGAGATTGTAACATCCTTCATAGGGACCCACAGCCAATTCCTCTGGAAACAGATTTGGCTCTTTGAGACCCCTTGCCTTTGTGTATGCCATGCCACTCCCTAGAATGCCCCCCACTACTTTCTACCAAGCAAACATCTATTTCTCCATCAAGATCCCATTCGGGTAACTCCCACTCCCAGCCTTCTTGGTCAGCCCGCTTGTCCAGTCAAGCGGCATGGCCTATGAGTGACAACCCTCTCGGGTGGGCAGCCATGAGAAACCACCGGGAGTCAGTGAGCAGAAAGGGGAATGCGGTATGAGGATTCTTGAGAGTCTCCCAAAACCCACAGAATCCAAGGGCCTCAGAACCTGCCTGGAGCCGAGGAAGCGAAAGCCGCAGGGGATGCGGGCCGTTCTCTCTCTTCTCTTTCTCTAGGTGCATTGGCTTCCACTTTTTCTCTTGCTGCAAACTGGCTTCTGTTTCCTGCCCACATGACAGACAGCAGCTGTCATCCACTTTCCAAAGCCTACATCTCCTGAATTCCAGAGAGCAGCCGGGTGGAACTGGACTCTCCTAGTCCCAAGTCCACATTCCTCAGGAGAGGGCTCACTGGCCGACCTCGTTAGCCGCTCACCCCTCACCCAGTCAACCAGGGAGGAAGGTGAGGAGTATCGTGGCCAGTGGTGCAAATACAGTAGTTCCCACTGAGTCATGTGGAGGGGCGGGGACAGTTCCTGAAAGGGGAATCTGCACACAGTGGAGTGCAGGAATATAAATATAAGCAAGAAGTCACCCTGTGACCTACTTAGAGCCCTGCTTCACATAAAGAAGTAATACCCACCGCATTCTCTGGTCCCAGCAGAGCCACTCACTCTTTCCTTCAGTGTATATTAGTTGAGGTTCCTAAGGGAGCAAGTAACAGAAACAAACTTCTGGATGCTTAAGCCAAGAAAGGGACTATATAGGGGTATGTCATAGAAAGAGTTGATTGTTGAACATTTTGCACGGGAGGACCCAAGGTAGCTGTAGGGACCACAGGAGTTAGTGACTCTCCTCTCCAGAGCCCTCTGGTCACTCCAGTCTCTGTGTGTTTCAAAATCCCGATTCCCAGGAGGCCGACTTAGGATGGCCCAGCTGGGTCATTGAGCAGTGGCCAGGGAGAGCAGGTCCTATCATATGGACGTGGTTGTGGAGCCCTCCCTGTGTATATTGGGGTGTGGTTCTCAGAGAAGAAATGATTGGGGGCCAGGAAGTTAGCTCAGGCCACGGTGAGAAGAACGCTGAGTTTGGGGCCATTAAAGAGTCTTTGTACCTAATTGAGATCTTCCTTTTAAATGCCATTTATGATCTAAGGAATGCAGTGGGAAATATTTTATAAAGAATTGTCTTCTTCAAGGATTTCAGGAAGATATCAGGGCCACTATTCTTAAACAAGGCTCAGACCAAGGGATCTGGATCTCCATGATGACTCCATTGTGTAATTTACATACACAGGCAAACACAACAAAAGGCATTAACGAGACTTCATTATTTGGAAGACAGCTAGGTCTCGCGCTCTGCTACTTCCCTCTCTGGGCTTCAGTTTTCCCAACTGTACAATGATTGACTTGGACTAGATACTTTTCAAAGTCTGCATTCACAGCTCTAAGATTTGTGACTTCCAAGACACACTTATTTTTCAAAGCCACAGGCCACAGTGAAAGAAATCAGCTTGGCACCTTGTAAGACTGACTGCAGCCTCGCATGTAGTAAATGGGGAAATGTTGCACTATTTCTGCTCTGACCTCTCAGCTTTTCTTAGTCCTTGGGGGCAGAATATGTACCAGCAGAGAGCAGAGGCTAGTATTTTTCTTTTCAAAGCACAGCCTAAGATAAGCATCTTTAAAAATAAGCATCTACACTTCTTGCTTTCTTCCTCCAATACCCTATTGAAATAGCTTTTGGCAAAATGTCACTGGTGATTGCCTAATTGCCAAATCTAGAGGATGCTCTGCCTTTCTTAGCTGATGCTCTGGAGCCCTGAACCTGCTGACCACCAGTGCCTGGAAACATTCTTCTACTCTGGCATCTGTGACACCACGTTTTCCTGGCTTCCTCCAGTCCCTTGGATGTTCCTTCTTAGTCTACCTGTGGGACTCTTCTTCACCCAACCTGGAAGTGTTGGTGTTTCCCAGGGCTCAGGCCCAGATCCTTCTCCGTGCACCTCAAACTCCCACGCGCCCCTGACTCCATCCACCGCCTCTCTGGGTTCCTCCCAGCTCTCTGGCTGTAGCCAGACGTTCCTCCCACCACAGGCTCCTCACCCTCAACCAGTGAGCTGGTCACCTTCACCCGCCCGCCCCACCCTCATTGTAGAAGCCCTTCTCTTCCCACACTCCCTCTCACCAGAAGTGCCACCATTTACCCTGTTACCCAAGCCAGAAACCAGGGAGCCATCCTTGATTCCTGTCCCTCCCTCGCCCTGTATATCTAAGCAGTCACCAAGCCCCATAATTCCTAGACAGCTGGACTCTGTCCCTCCTCTGCTATTCCTATGTTCACGTCTTAACTCAGTCTCCCATTATGTCCAGCTGGATTACTGGGCCTCCTATAAGGCCTTCAGGCCTCTGGCTCCAATCTCTGCCCACCCCATCCCCACAGGGGTGCCCACAAGCTTCTGCCCTTCAAGCTTCTGTTGCTTTGCACTGGCCTTTCCACCTTCCTGGAGTAGTCCTTCCCACTCTTCTCCTCCAGGACGCTAATCTCGACTCATGTTCCATAACAGGTGCTCACTAGTTGGTAATGGTTGTCTCCACTATTATCATCATTGTCCTTCACATCTCAGCTTAGGTGTCATCCCCTCCAGGAAGCCCTCCCTGATTCCCGCCAGCTGTTCTCATGGCCATGGCTGTCCTTGCCTCCACCACAGCATCATCCTAGCTTCCTAGTCTCCCTACCCCTGCCACATGATAGGTGCTCAATAAATGTGGGATGAGTTATTTTGAAATTTGTAGTTTTTTTAAGCTCTAGTGTTACTTTTCAACATTTTCTCTTAGTTCACAGATGCTCTTTTTTTAGAATATTAGAAACTAACTCCTCACTTGAAAAAAAAAAAACTAGCTACATTTATTGAGTACCTACTAAATCAGGCTCTATCTTAGGTCCTTTACACACAATACCTCATTTTATCTTCACAACAACCTGTGAGAAGGATGTGACCCTAATTAACCACTGAGCCTCTCAGAGCCATATTCACAAGGAAGGGTGTCTCCCCAAATCTTCCCACCCTGCTGGCCACATCCTTGGGGACAAGGCTCATAATCCTGTTAAGTGAGCACAGACTCTGAAGTCTGCCCTGTAAGCTGGGGAGGGCTGCTTAGACCCTTCCAAGCCAGAGCAGAAGAGCCCCCAGACACTTCCCCAGGGCAGAGAGGAGGGGCCCCCACCTTGTCGGGCCTGGGGAGGGCTGCATATTTGCTCAGCATCTGAGAGGTGATGCTCAGGATCTGGCTGGGCAGGTCACAGCACAGATCAGCATTAAGCTGATGCTTTCAGCCTCAAAGAGTTCTCCATCCAAGGCTGACAGCAAAGAATCTCTGAACCAAGGAACACGTGGACTGTAAACCTGGAGTCAGGCCTGCGTCCCACACTCTGTGCCTTTGTGTCCCAAGACACCACACAGGGAACGTCAAAGACGGGAAGGGCTCTGGGCCATTTAAGCCAATCCTCTCACTTCACAGGTGGCCCTGGGAGAGGCAGGGACTTTCTGGGCAGTGTCGGAACTAGAATCCAGGTCTCCTGACCCCGGCCACCGGTGCTCTGCCCTATACCACCAGTAGGCATTAGGGAACCAAGTGTTAGCGCAGAGCAGGCGAGCAGCTCCATATGCAGAAGAGTCCTGAGACGGTGAACCCCCCACTTGGAAGGTGCTCCCTCCATGTCAGCGGAACGAATGAATGAATGAATGAGCAGTTTCCCACAGCAAAGGTCTTCCTTTGACCGTCACCCGGATGTGTCCTTGAGCTGCTGTGACTCAGCAGAAGACAGTCAGCTCTAAGCAGAACGCTCTTTGGAAAAGAAATAGTAAGTATATGGAAATGGTCTTGGTGAAAACTTTCAAAGAGGAATGTAACCATTAAAATAATTATAAAGATGATATAGCACCATGGAAAACTACTTGCAATGTACAATTAAGGAAGAAAACAATTATACAAAATTGAGCCTGTGCCACGAGTACAACTGTGCGGAAATTATGCGGGTATAGGGGTGGGGACGTTAAAAATGGCTCACATTTAGTGAACACTCACTTCCCCACGGGCCAGGCTCTGTATGACGCCCTTCCCACAAGATCATCTCAGTCAATCCCACAGTGACCCCATGAGGCAGGTATTGCCGGAGAACTTGAACTCAGGAATGTCTGACTCCAGAACCTCCACTCTTAGCCACTGACTTGAGTCTGCAGCAAGAACTGGAGTAATTTTTTTTCTTTCCTTTTACTGTTACTTAAGTATTAAAAAAATACTCCAAATGATTACTAACTGATGTGGAAACCAACACCGAACTCATACTCTCTGTTTACATTCAGGAAAGAAAACAAAACCCGGAAATCCTTTCCACGTGGTGATGCTAAAGGATGTGGTCTCCAGGCCACTAGAAAAGCTTACCTCTGGAGCCCAGGAGCGTTGCCCTCTCTTTCCCAGGCTACAAACCTGAGACCACAGTCGCTGGGCTCTGAACACAAGCCGAGCACCCTCCATAAGCCGCTCCTCACCTTGCCCTGTGGGTCCTGACACCTCCAGCCTTCCCAGAGTGTCACTCAGCCCTCCTCCTGCCAGAGCCTCCCACCCCACAGCTGACACATGTGTCCACTGGTGCCCTTCCGAGCCCCCCTCCAACCTGTGAACAGAGACATCCCCCTTCATACCCCGTGACCCCAGACAACAGCAACCTGGCCCACCTGCTCTCAACCCGTCCCACTAGATTGCCTTTCTAAGAGCGGGAAGGCTCTTGGCCCTGTCCTGTCCTCTCCATTTCACCAGGACAAAGAGGCCAAGAGAGACGCCTGCGGGTGTCAGGGAAGACTTAAGGGGGCTCCTGATCCAGGGCCACACCTTTCCCATCTAAGTTCTATATGACTTGAATATGCTTCCCGTGGACCAGCCAGGGGTCTAAGTCAGCAGTCACCACATCGTCCTCTAGGGAAAAGGGATCTTGAGAGCCAAGAGAAATGTTGGCCTCCCCTCTCACGAGTAGGACGGGCATGGTCTGAATAGGGGATCCAGCCTAACTACTGAATTGAGATAAATCTGAACTAAAATGTCTTGGACCCCTCCCCCAGGGCTCCAGTCCTGTGATGGCATAAGAATGGCCTGTGCTAATACATGGAATTTAACTGCTAACCAACCACCACACCCACAGCAGCAGCGGAACAGAGCCTTGCATCCAAATCCCAGCTCCCCAGCAGGCTTGGAATCCCGGCAGAGAGCTTGCGGCGGGCTGACTGGAAGTGCTGCCCACCTGAAATGAGAGTTCCCTACTACTGTTTCACGACGCGATTTAATGAGAATCTGAGCTCTCCATACATTTAGCAGACAGCATCCGGACGGAGGCCCCCAGCCCACTCCCCATGGTCATCCCCGTCCCGCAGCGGGATGGACCTCCGCAGGTGCATACACAGCACTTCGTCGATGTAGATGGTGTTCTCTTTGACCTGGATCTCCTCCTGCAGGGCGAGTTGTCTGCGATTCAGCCCCTTCAGCTCGACCTGAGCTTGGGCTAATGTTTCCTTTAATCTAGGAGAAGAGGAAGAACATAAGGGAATGATTCATCGCTCTGCATCGCGTTTTCATGGGAAAAAAATGTATTCATGTCTTCAGTGCAGAAGCCAAATTGATATGTCGTCTGTTTCTCTCCTCCTTAAGACAGAGATTTCAAATTGGTGGCCACAGGCCAGATTCGCAAGGCAGACAAACCCAGGAACTGCCCACATTTAAAACTGTAGATTTTACCTAAACGTCTGGATTTGGACTTTAGAAAAATTTAAACATTGGGATCCATTTCCTACATGGCAGCAATTGGCTGGAGTTAGTAGAGACTGCCCTCTAGACAGGAAGACCTCCAACATTATAGACGCAAACTCATGCCTAGCAGGCTCACCCACCGTGCACTGCCTAGTCCTGCCCACAGTCCAGGCTTAAATGGAGCCCCAGCGGCCCTCTGCCCACAGCTGCCGGCCTACCTTGCCACGTTGTGGGTGATCTCCTGAACCTCCTTCATCAGCCGATACTGCGCCACGTCGCGACACAGCTCCACGTTAGGCCGACGTGTCCTGGTCTCCAGGCGTGTATGAGCCACCTTGGCAGGCCCTTCTTGGTCAAGGATGGCTTTCTCAAGAACTGTAACATTTTTCTCCTGGGAAGCAATCTCTTCCATGACCTTACAAAAAGGATTAGAGTAGGTGAGGCCAGGTCGTGCTCCTTAAAACTCAGCAGCAGACACTCTTAGGAGGTCCGTTGTGATCACGTAAGTCAGGAAGAGGAGACCTCAGATTTCTACCCCAGCAGGGCCCTGGGATGAGTCTGATCTCTCTTCCCTATAGCGGTGGTTGCTGGTGGGCAAGGTAACTCACCCAACCTTAGAGCCTCACAGATGGAATGTACATGACTGGCCCTTGTTGCCTCATCTCCTTCCCAAATAAGGTGAATTCCCTGGACAATGCCCTCAGCAAAGGCTGGAGGCTGCCCATTTACCTTGGTACAAAGTACCTTTGTATCATCAGCAGAAAGCTGCCTATTTCCTTATCAATCCACCCACTAGCACTGGTTCTGCCCCCTAGAAGCCTGAAGAAAGAGTGTGAGCAGTTTAATCTGTGTTTTGTTGGTTTCTTTGATAGTGGCTTTGTGCACAGAAAAGATTACTTAGAATTTAGTTGGGTTTTTTGATTAATACTTAATGAGTTTAAAAATTTATTTCTTCTTTAAGCTTTTTTTTTAAAAAACTTCGCATCATGGAAACTTCCAAACCCACAAAAAAGTGGATAGTTCCACTATCAGTTCATTATAAGGAACCTCATGGACCCCTCATCAGTTTTAGGCAATGATCAATACATGGCCAATCTTGCTTCATCTATAACCCCCATCCCCACCCCTACCCATCAGCTTAATTATTTTAAGGCAAATCCCGGATATTATATCATTTCAGTATTAAATACTTGAGTATGATTTCTAAGACATAGGACTCTTTTTTTTTCTTTTAACATAACTACAATACCCTTATCACACACACACACACACAGAATGATCCTTTAATATCACCTAATATCTAGTGTTCAAACTTCCCTGATTGTCCCATATTTTTTGTAAGCGTTGGTTTGTTCAAATTAGAATCCAAATGATGTCCACACATTACATTTGGTGTTCTTAGGCCTTAACATTTCTTAAGCTTTTCTCGAATTCAATTCACAGATATTATACTATGTTTAAATTTAGCAAATGTTAACAATCACTTTAAATTAATTTTGATCAATAGTTGCTCCCATTTCAAACTTAGTTGAAATCTTTTGAACATTTATTTAAAGCAGCTTTTATAAATTTGATATATAACATAAACATAGCATTTATAAATTTGATCTAGAACTTTTTAAAAATACTTGAATTGTCTTAACAAACAAGGCCTCCTGGAGTTCTTGAAAGCCCTCATCAATCTAGTGAACTAGTAAAAATGATTAACCTTGAATTCTCTGACATATTTTAATAATCTTCGATCTTAAAATTTCAATTTAAAATCATAAGGCTAAATTAACTATTTAATTACATATTTCAAGTTATAATATTTTTAAAAATAGGCAAAATTCTCTTAAATTTTACAAATTCTTAAAATATCCCAAATGCACAGATTCTTTAAAACAAAACTGCTAACACTATGGATTAGATCAGGAATCAGCGAACTATGGCCTACGGGCCAGATGCAGTCTGCCACCTGTTTTGTCCAGATTGTGAAATAAGAATTTTGTTTTATTAATAGACTTGATTTTTAGAGCAGTTTTAGATTTACAGCAAAATGGAGCGGGAAGTATCGAGTTCCCATAGACCCTCTCTCCCTCTCTACACAGTTTCCTCTATTATTAACATCTTGCATTAGTGTGGGACATTTGTTACAATTGATGAACCAATGTTGATACATTGTTATTAACTGAAGTCCATCGTTAACATTAGGGTTCACTCTCTGTGTTGTACCGTCTATGGGTTTTGACAAATGTATAATGACATGTAACCACTTTTACAGTATCATACAGAATAGCTTTCACTGCCCTAAAAACACCCTGTGCTCCTCCATTTCATCCCTCCTTCCCTTCCCTTCCCACCCCACATCTGAGGCCCTGACAGCCACCGACCTTTTTACCATCTCCATAGTTTTGCTTTTTCCAGAATGTCATAAAGTTGGAATCATACAGTATGAGTCACAGTCTGAATTTCAGATTGGCTTCTTTCATTTAGCAATATGCATATAAGTTTCCTCCACGTCTTTTTGTGGTTTGACAGCTCATTTCTTTCTATAATTGAATAATATTTCACCGTATGGATGTAACACAGTTTGTTTATCCATTCACCTGCTGAGGAACATCCTGCTGGGAACATAATTGCCCATCCAAGTTTGGGAAATTATGAATAAAGCTGCTGTAAACATTCATAGGCAGGTTTTTGTGTGGACATAAGTTTTCAACACATTTGGGTAAATACCAAGGAGTGAGATTGCTGAATCATATGCGTATGTTTAGGTTTGTAAGAAACTGCCAATCTGTCCTCCAAAGTGGCTGCACCATTGCATCCCCACCAGCAATGACGAGAGCTCCTGTTGGTCCACATCCTCGCCAGCACTTGGCGCTTACCAATGCTTTGGATTTTCTATGGGTGTGTAGTGGTATCTCGTTGTTTTAATTTGCAATCCCTAATGACATAGGCTGTGGAGCATCTTTTCATATGCCTAATTGCCATCTGCATATCTTCTTTGGTGAGGTGTCTGTTCAGATATTTTGCCTATTTTTTAATTGGGGCTGTTGGTTTTCTTATTATTGAGTTTTAAGGGTTCTTTGTATATTTTGGATAACACTCCTTTATCAGATATGTGTTTTGCAAATATTTTCGCCCAGTCTGTGGCTTGTCTTTTCATTATCTTAAAAGAAAGGTTTTTACACTTTTAAATGGTTGAAAAAAATCAAAAGAATAACATTTCATGTCATGTGAAAGTTATACAAAATTCAAATTTTAGTGTCCATAAATAAAGTTTTATTGGAACGCAGTCAGGCTCATTCATTTATATATGGCTGCTTTTGAAGTACAATGTTGCAACAGACTGTACCCTATGCTCTCACTGCTTTGCGCTGCTGTCCAGAGCACTACAAGTCCCAAGGACACGGTTATAACTTGACAGCTTTCCGAGTGCTACATGTATCACCATACAGTGACATCTTATTTTATTTTTTATTACCAGTGCATACCCATCATGTTAAAACAAGAAAAGTGGGCTCTGTGTTGCACTTTTAAGGCATAGTGAAACGTCTGTTGTGTTATCAATTAGATAGCAGAGCATTGTGTTTATTATGCAATGACACCATAGCTGTGCCGAAAAAGCATGGTATACGTCGACATTACCAGACTAAGCATCCGTCACAATATTCCCAACTCACACAAGAGCAATGACCAGAAAGATTATAAATTTAAAACAGAATATCTCATCACTGCAGAATTTCTTCAGAAAAATGAAAATGGGGCTGCAATCAAAGGAAGATTCCAAGTGGCTCATTTGCCAGCCAAGCAAGGAAAGCCATTTACTCACATTGAGTTAATTAAATCACGTTTGACTGCAGCAGCTCAGGAGGGCGTCCAGAGAATACAAATTTGTTTAAACCTATTAGTCTTTCTGCAAGAATGGTGGCTCGAAGAGTTAGGGACATTGGAACAACATCAAGAGTCAATGAAAACACAAGGCACATAATTTTGGATGGTTTTCCTTTGCTCTTCATGAGTTGGCAGGTGTTCTGATACGGTTCAGTGTTGTTTATTCCAGGAGTCAGTGCTGAGTTGGAAGTGACTAAAGAATTAGCCTCTGTAACAGTCACGTGAAATAACGACAGGCGAGGATATTTTCAAAAAGTTGAGACAACATTAATTCAATACAACCTGAAGTAGAATCTGCTACGAAGTGTGACAGCTGATGATGGCACAAATATGAATTGAGAGGAAAAAAGTCTTAGTTAAACATATGTACAGAGCTTGCAGAAACGGAAGCTGTTTAAAGCCCATGGTTATTCATTTTATTATTCATCAGAAAGGACTCTGCAGAAGATATTTGGATCCATCACACATTATTGAACCAGTAGCATCAATAGTATCCTCCTTAGCTCTCACAGATTTGACCATCATCGGTTCTGTGAGTTTTGTTGGAAACAGAAGCTGAATATCCTGACTTGCCCTACTACTCAGTGATTCAATGGTTTAGCAGTGGTAGAATTTTCTTGTGGTTTATTTTAGCTCAAGACCAAGACTGAAATTTTTCTGAAGGAGAAGAACCACCCTCAGCCACTATTACCAACACTGAACGGTTTTGGAAATTAGCTTTTGCTGCAGACTTAATAATATTTCTTAATGAATCCAACCTAAAATCACAGGGTAGAAGGACTTACACGCAAAGCTTACACTGCGGCGAAGTCATCTCAACAGCTAACGTGACTGAATCGCAAGTAATATCAAGCTGCCTTGCGCACTTCCTGTGCTGTCAAAAGTTAAATCAAGAAGCAAGACCTCCATTCCCACACAGTCTCAGAAGAAACATTTCCAAGTTCCAGCAGTGTCTTTTGGACCTCAAAGCAAGTGCAAAGGAAATTTCCATATTTCATAACCCACTTAACTGTGCAATTGAAGAGCTTCTACCCACCTTCAACTGGAAGTGATTAATCTGAAATGTAATGCCATGCTAAAAGGCAAATATCAGGAGAAGAATCGAACAGAATTCTATAAATGCCTTCCAAGTGATGAACACATCCAATTAAAATCCTATGCTCATAGATTGTTATCAGTACTTGGCAGTAACTATCTGAAGGAAAAGACATTTTCACTACAGGTCAGCATTAACAGATGAATTTGCAATAGGTTTTGATAGAAAATACTAACTTGGAACCCCCACAAAACAAATTATCCTCCCCCAAAAGAATCCCCTTCTTCTCATCTATAAAAACTATACTCAATTATTATTATTGTATTTTTAATTTTGTCAATGAAGAATCTGTGGAAATTTGTTTTCTTTCTCATTATGTAAATACCTACATAATATCCTTGATTTTGTCTCTGGGCCCACAAAGCCTAAAATATTTACTATCTGACCCTTTATAGAAAAATTTTTCTGACCCCTTAAAGTAATCTAAACCCTGGGTTATATTATTTTAAACATTGCTATTCTTAATTCTAGATTTTGCTGGGGTTAAAATATGCTTTTCCCAATAAAGAAACTATTGTGTCATCAGAAATAAAATGGGGGTTACCCTACCCTTTAATTTGGAGGCCGTCTTCTCAGCTTGCTGAGTCTCTTCATGGCCAGGGAGGCTTCTGGCCAGAGGGTAACCAGATGGAGCCTTTTCTCATAGAACCTAAGTTGTGTCTCCAGATGGGGGTGGCGGGTCTCAGAGTCATTCAAAGTACACATTCCCTAATCCTTCCATTTGCAGAACAACGCCACCCTCACCCAGCTGGCTGTGCCTCCTAATGGGATCTTAAAATTTTTTGGCTCTTAAGAGATGTAAATAGTTTCCCCCTGCTAACTCCTAAGGCCTTCGAACTTGATGGAATCCTGCCTTTTTTCATATACCTTCTGTCTCTTAGGCCATGACTCTTCTGAATATTAAAATGATTTCAGATTAAATGTTGGTTATCTCTCGTGGCTCCACCCAATTTGCGGCCACCATCTCTTAGCTCATTTCTCTTACATGAACCCACTCACAACCCTTCCCATAGTTGAGGGAGGAGACCCTGTTCCCCCAGAGCTGTGCCAACATAGCAGCCACTAGCCACATGTGGCCACTGAGTGGGGAAATGTGCCTCCTCCTAAACGAGATGAGCTGTAAGTGCAAAATACACATCAGATTTTGAGGACTTAGTTAAAAAAAGTTAAAAAAAGTAAAATATATTATTAATTATTTATGTTGATGACATGTTGAAGTGATATTTTTGATATATTGGGTTAAATAAATGCATAACAATTCACTTCACCTGCTTCTTTTTACTTTTTTTAAAGCAGCTGCTAGGAAATTTAACAGGACGTGTGTGGCTTGCATTACATTCCTCCTGGACAGCACTGCCCTAGTCTTGGTTCTCTCAACTGCAAAGCCCCTGTCCCACGCCCCTCCTTCATCAGGCTGCCCCCTGGATGTGCTCTAGAGTCCTCCTGGTCCCTCCTGCGGGGCGAGGCCAGAAGGGGACATGGTCTCTGTGCTTCCCCCACAATGTGGGGGAGCGATAGGTGCGAGCTGAGGAGTCAGACAGACCTGGTGTCAACACCCAACTCTGCCACTTGTTAGTCATGAGGCTTGACCAAGTAGTTAACCCTTCTCGGCCTCAGTTTCCTCATCTTTGAAATGGGGGTGATAATACTATCTACCCATTCCAGGGTTGCTAAGGCACAGCGGCGTATATGTGGCACACCCAGCACAGGGCCTGGCACTCAGTCCACATGACCATCACCTTCGTCATCAGTGCTATTATTACTAACAGCCCTCCAGGAAGGGCCTTACCACCACAGAGAGGAGGACCATTAGTTCCCGTGTCCCAGTTACCTCCTGCCTCTGATTGGTTTGTTCCAAACTTTCTTTCACCTAAAATCTTCACTCTTCCTGCTGCCCCTAAGCCCTTGTGTGCTGGTACAATTGATTTTTTTAGACCCATGTGAAAGACCTTACTTTTGTCCCTGTTGAATCTCACCTAATTTGTTTTAGTCCATCATTCTCGCCAGTCCAGGCCATTTTGGATGTTCATTTTAGATGTCACTTCCAAGCCCTCAGCAGACGGCTCCCGGCTCCTGCAGGGACTGCCTCCTCCAGCGGGACTGGGCTGCTCGCAGGCCGCAGCACAAGCCAGCTGCTTGCCTCTTACAATGGTCTCTCCTCCCCTCAGAGCCATCCTTCCAGGCCCAGACTAATTTCTTACTCCACCAGGAAGCCTCTGGACTATTCTGGGGCTACTTTTATTCTTATTATTCATTAGCCAATTTTTATTGATTATATATTATATTATATTGATTATATATACACAAATTATATATATGTATGTATGTGTGTGTGTGTGTGTGTGTGTGTGTGTGTGTGTGTGTGTGTAAAATTGGTATGTGCCAGGCATTGTCCTAGGTATTTGATCTGGGTTGTCTAATTTCACCCTGACCAACCCTGGGGGGTGAGCACTATTGCTGTCCATCTCATCAATGAGGAAACTAAGAAACAGGGAACTAAAGTATATCATAAATATTTTTAATTTTCTATATATTATGATGTTTTGATGCCTTAAAAAACCTGTATAGGTGGGGAGAGACTGGCCTTCCCTGGGCTAGCCAGTGCTTAGAGATGGCCAAGCACCCAGCCTGAGCATGCCTTTGATATGCACACTGACCAGTCCAGAACCATCCCTCCTCTATCTGGCCCTTACACCCCAGGAGGCAATATTCCTCTGTCCTAATCATCTCAGGGCCAGGTGCCAGGGAGCTAGGGACGACTCTGTAGGCCAGAGCCCACTGAAATTATTCAAACTAGCTGATCTTAAACTGCTCACCCTGCTCCTTGCCTGTCCTGAGGAAACCCCAATAAAGGCTGTGGCCTAAACCTTCCCCTCACTCCTGTCATCTGCCTCCTGACCACCCTAACGTCCTTCCCATACGGCCCTACGTGGCAAGCCCTGCCTCCCGTCTCTAGGCGCTGTGAGGATAAACTGTGTTTTCCGGAGCCTCCTATGTCCTCGTGGCTACACCTGACTGACCATCTCATAAAAGAACACCAAACATTAGGTGAGCTCCCCGAGATCACACAGAAGTGTTGAAGCCCCAGTTCAAACCCAGGCTGTCGGCTCTGGAGTGTACACGCTTCCCCACAAGGCACTTCCACCTCTCCTTTTGCTGAATATTGCAGTGTAAACTTTGACTGCATTCCGGTTTGTCCTGCTCGTCACACAGGTAAATCTTGTCTTACAGCTGGACTCTGGTTCCAGGAGGGCAAGGTACAGATGCAGCAGCAGGACAACGGGGCTCTGGGAGTTGAGCAGGCCTGGGCTCCGGTCCCAGGCTGCCAGCGCTGCACCCTGCCACCTGGAGAACCTTCTGCTGTGTCTCAGTTTCACCACCAGTAAAATGCAAGGGCTGGGCTAACGGTGGCCACATTAGGCGGCTGTTACTGTCCCAACGCTACGGGTGAGGCACAAGGCTCAGAGGGCTTGAGGGATCTGCTGAAGGCCTCAGCTGGCCTGTCACAGGGCTGGGATTTGGGCCCACATATCTTCAGCCAAATCCAGCACTTGTTCCGCTAGACTCTACTTCTCAGCGTCCCTGAGCCGGGCCTGTGGGGGGGTCCTCTAAGCTCAGGATCCGGGGTCCTCGCTGGTGAGGGAGGGGTGCTGGAGCTGGCCCATGTGGGCTCTGATTGCTACACATTCAGGAATTTCTCCAGACCATTGTTAAATGGGTAGCTTGAAACTGACCACGGTAGAAGTATTTACACCACGGAAATCTGCAAATTCTACGAGTCAGGGCCTTTTTTTCCTGAGAGCCAGTTTACCAGCACATCACTGGATAACCGGGAGGGACAACCAGCCAGAATCCTGAAGTTGCAGCTGGGGTTGGAGAAATCACTTGCATTCAACTTATGGAACTTCGGAGTCATAAAGGATGTCCGAGACCATATAGTCCGTCTCCGTATTTCACATAACGAGGAACTGAGGACCAGAGAGGGGAAACGACCTGCTCTTTGCAGCAGTGAGAGACAAAGGAGGCCCAGAATGGGGTCAAGTCCCACTCTAGTCCCCAAAAGCCCAAAGCCTACAGCTAAGATGGAGAGACATGAATGACCCTCACTCCTTAGTTAACCCACAACCAGAGGCCCAGAAGGCCAACGGCCTGGCCCAGGGGGCATTCTTCATCTCCACACACTCTTCTCTGTTCCCTCCAGGGAGCTCACCTTGGCCAGATGATCAGCCAGCTTGTCCCTGGCATCCTTGGTCTCCTTCAGCCCATTCCTGAACGCAGTGTCCACCACATCACATTGCTTGCGCAGGTCACTGGCCGTCTGGGACAGGACTCGGTCCACCAGGGCCTTCAGCATCAGGGAGTTGTTCCTCTGCTTGTCAGCCTTCTCCACATTGGCGTTGGAGAAGTCCAGCCAGTCTTCCAGACTCACAGAGCTGAAACAGAAGCCGCGCATCTCATTCACAGCATGTTTGGGCTGGGAAAGGGGGTGTGGGAAGGGGACAAGCTCCTGGGAATCCTCTGGAAGCTAAGCCCACCTCCACCATCGGAAGCACCTAGAACATTTCCCAACCTCTAGGCAGAGCAAACAGGGGTCTGTCAGTGGCAATTGCTGTCACTTTGGGAAAACTACCTACTCTGTACCAGGCACTGGGCTGGCACTTCACAGACATTGTCTCATTTAATCCTCACGATGGCCTAGTGAGCTAACTTTTATAACCCCCATCTTACAGATGAGGAAAATTAAGGCTCAGAAAGATGGAGTAACTTGGTCAAGATCAGACTGGTAGCGACAATTTGAGTATCAAAATATATAATAATAGTAACATTATAATACACTGAATAAAATAGGAAACCATGAGTCCATACTGATATAAATAAACAAATAAATTGCCAGTTTGACAAGGAACTGCTTTATGCAACAATATAGGTGAATCACAAAATAATGTTGATTGGAAGAAAACTGACACACACACACAAAATGGATAGTATATGATGCTATCTAATAAGTACAAAAGCAGGCAAAACAAGCCTATTAGGAGTCAGGAATGTGGTTATCTTTGGGGAGGAGGGAGAGGGTATTGATCAAGAGTGGGACAGGGTGGGGGTCTCTGTGTTGGGATAATGTTTTATTTCTTAACCTGGTTGGTGGTTACATGGGGATTGTTCACGGTGTGATTAGAGGCAGCCCCTGAGATGGCCCCCAATGACCCCGCCTGCTGGTATTCACACTGTTGTGTAACCCCCTCCCCTTGAGTTGTGTGATGAACTCATTGACTCATTTCTCACCAATAGAAGTGATGCGATGTCATGTCTGGGATTAGGTTAAAAGAAAATTGTGACTCTGTCTTGGGAACACTCTCTCTCTCTCTTGCTTTTTCTTGGGTCACTCACTGTGGGAGAAGCCAGCTGCCACGTCACGAGACAGCCCTGTGGAGAGGCTCACGTGGCAAGGCCTGCTATAACTACACACCACACGAGTCAGCTCTGAAGTAGATCCCCATCGCACCCCAGCCGAGCCTTCAGATGAGATGCAGCCCCAGCAGACAGCTTGACCACAACCTCACGAGACGTGAGCTCAAGGCACCCTGCTGAGCAGTGCCTGGGTTCCTGACCCACAGAAACCGTGAGACAACACATGTTTACTGCTGTAAGCTGCTAAATTTGGGGCAGCTTGTTATACAGAAAAAGATAACTAAAACAGTGATAATTCATTAAACTATGTTTATTAGTATTCATGCACTTTTCTATATGTATGTTTTACTTCAAAAAGAACGTTTTAAAAATTAGAATGTTAGGTCTGTGATGTGACGTTAATTGAAAAACATAAGTTAGATGTTACAGAAAAGGTACATAGTATAATCTCATTTTTGTGAACAAAATAAAATGTGTGTGTGAGTGTATACACATGTTTGTAGGAACATACAGACAACACTGGTTATCTCAGGGGGTTCAATAATGGGAAAAGGGAGATGGGAGGAAATTATTAAGTTGCCCTTGTTACCTTTTTAGATTCTTTTACTTGTTAAAAACATGAATAGGTAAATGAATAAATTATAAATGTTTAAAGATTTTACATCAGATTCTCTTAAAGTGGGGCCTAACCTGGAGGACCGAGGAGGCTCGGGGCCCTGTGTCAGGGCAGTCACTGCCCGGCACCCACCTTTGCCCCAAGCCCACCTCTCGCTAGCCCCCACCCTGCTGTCAGGGACCAGCCTGCCTGCCTGAGAAGCCCTGGGACATTACAGAGCAGAGGGGACGATGGCACAGCCAGGCCCGCAGCCAGGGACCCACTCACTTTGGTTCAATCCTCACGACGTTCTCAGCATATCTGATGTTCGGCGAGTTGTTGTTGAGTGAGAAGCAGATGTCATCGATGGTCAGAGCCGCAAACTTGTCCCTCAAATCCTTTTCAAGATTGTACTTGGCAGAGCGGTTCAGCCTGAAGGGAGAAGGCACAGGTTTCTCCCTCTGGAATGCCCAGGCGGCACCTACGAGTTCTCGGGAGACCCTGGAAAATGAAGCTCCAGCTAGGTCTAGCACAGGATGGCGGCACTGCCTCCCCGCCTTCCATCCCCCAACACACACACACGTACCATTAGAGGCTTGGTGACAGATTAAGGTAACCAAGCCTGGACTTCAAGTTCCTCCCTCCGACTGTGACATTTTCTGATGTCACTACTGTGGCATGCTGTATGTGTGAGGTCAGTCTAGCAGGGAACAGCTCCAGTGTCCTCCAGTTTATAATCGGAGTGAAATCTGACTCCATCCCCACCCACCACCAGAGGGCAATGGTTATGTATGAGAGGTTGTCCAGGTCTCAACTCGGAGTGTTCCTGGACCACCTCAGAGCATGGAAAGTGCTGGTGGGAGCATTAAAGCCCAATCTTTCTGTGCCGTGGGCCTGGCCTTTGTGGGCACTGCCTCTTCTAGATCTGCCCCGTGGAGACATGGAGGGCAGGCCCCAGAAAGCCATACCTGATCTGCTCGGACGTCTCCTCCAAGGTGCGGGTCAGCAGGGCCATCACCCCCCGGATGATCTCAGCCTCCTTTATCAGCTCCTGCTCCACTTCATCATGCACCAAGTCAATGCCAACTCGCTTCTCCCTGACCGAGAGAATGGTCATCCAACACATGCCAGGACGCAGCTTGGTCTGTGCTAACATCTGGACATTGAAACTAACTGGATAACCGGCTTGAGCAGCGCCTGATCCATCCAGATGACATGGTGGGGGATGTGCATTAGTTAGTGTCTATGCAACTTCACAACATCCAGATGGATTTTTCCCCCTCAATTTGGCCATCAGTTCTGAAGCCTTCTCCTTCTTACCTATTTATTGGAAACATTGTCTTTTGACTTAGAATTTAAAGACATGTTTCCTTTCTTGACTCTAGTCCTGTTTTTTGACAAAGATTTGAATCCAGAAAAAGGAGAGGTTACAACAGACACCTCAGAAATACAAAAGATTATAAGAGAATACTATGAAAA